GTTCATCCAGCTCTACACCTTGTTATCTAAAGAATAGACTGGACTGATTTGGAGACACCATTGTCAGTTATAAACTGCTGAAGTTTGATTTTCTTGTCTTGTCTTGAACACATTGATTAGTCTTCAACATTGAATGCACCTCCCAGTGTCTATTCTACATTTAATTATTTGGAGCAGCTTGTGGTTGGACTACAAGACTGATTTATATTTTTTTCTTAAATATTTTAATATAATCATATTACTTTCCATTATGGGCAATTTAGCATGGCCAATCCACCTAGCCTGCACATCTTTGGACTGTGGTTAGGTTCAAATCCCACCAAGGTGGATCTGAATTCAACAAAAATCTGGAATTAAAATGCTAATGATGACCATGAAACCATTTTTGTTTAAAAACTTATCCCATGTCTGTTCTCCCCCTAGGCAATTAGAGATGGGAAATAAATGCTGGCCTAGTCAGTGAAACCACAAACTGTGAATGATTTTTTTTTAAGTGTAGAGTATATTGGGATTGTCCACCAGACCCTCCCTGCAACGATCAGTGGAAAACTGAGAAATAAATTTGTAAGAAGATCTCAGTTATCTGTAAGAATAATAGGGTGGTTGTGGTAGGGGATTTTAACTTTCCAAACACAGACTGGGACTGCCATAGTGTTAAGTGCTTGGATGGATAAGAATTTGTTAAGTATGTACAGAAAATTTTATGATTCAGTATATGGATGTACCTGCTAGACAAGGTGCAAAACTTGACCTACTGTTGGGAAATAAGGCAGGGCAGGTGACTGAGGTGTCAGTGGGGGAGCACTTTGGGGCCAATGACCATAATTAGTTTTAAAATAATGATGGAAAAGGATAGAACTGATCAAAAAGCTAAAGTTCTAATTTGGAGGAAAGCCAATTTTGACGGTATTAGGCAAGAACTTTCAAAAGTTGATTGGGAGGTGGATGTTTGCAGATAAAGGGACAGCTGGAAAATGCAAAGCCTTCAAAAGGAGATAACAAAAGCCCAGAGACAATATGTTCCTGTTAGGGTGAAGAGCAAGGCTGGTAGGTGTAGGGAATACTGGATGAGTGGAGAAATTGAGGTTTTCGTTAAGAAAAAGAAGGAAGCATATATCAGGTACAGACAGCAGAGATCGAGTGAATCCTTAGAAGAGTATAAAAGCAGTAGGAGTGTACTTAAGAAGGAAATCAGGAGGGAAAAAGTGGACATGAGACAGCTTTGGCAAATAGGGTTAAGGAGAATCCAAAGGGATTCTACAAATACATTAAGGACAAAAGGGTAACTAGGGAGAGAATTGGGCTCCTTAAAGATCAGCCAGGCTACCTATATGTGGAACCACAGGAGACGGGGGAGATATTAAATGAATATTTTGCATCAGTATTTACTGTGGAGAAGGATATAGAAAATAGAAAACGTGGGCAAATAAATAGCAACATCTTGAAAAATGTCCATATTACAGAGGAGAAGGTGCTGGAAGTCTTAAAATGCATAAAAGTGGATAAATCCATGGGACCTGATCAGGTGTACCCTAGAACTCTGTGGGAAGCTAGGGAAGTGATTGCTGGGCTCCTTGCTGAGATATTTGTATCACCAGAGCCACAGGTGAGGTGCTGGAGACTGGAGGGTGGTTAATGTGGTGCCACTATTTAAGAAAGGTGGTAAGGAAAAGCCAGGGAGCCTGACATCGGTGGTGAGCAAGTTGTTGGAGGAAATCCTGAGGACAGGATTTACATGTATTTGGAAAGGCAAGGACTGATTAGGGATAGTCAAATTGGCTTTTTGCATGGGAAGTCATGTCTCACGAATTAGATTGAGTTTTTTGAAGAGGTAACAATGAGGATTGATGGACTTCAGTAAGACGTTCGACAAGGTTCCTCA